GGATATAGCTCGCTAGCAGCCTCGCACCGAGGACCTATCCACGTCATCATTTACCCAGAATGCTTTGTGTGGAAATAAAATGGCTCCGTCCGTGTTAAAATATATTTTTAAAATTTTAGTTATGTTTATCAAATAAAGTCTAATGTTACAACTAATCCTGGATCCTTTAAATGTCTATATTTACATGRAGAGGTGGAGCTGAATCTGAATCTGTGAGGGAAATAAAACAATCCCGAGAAACTAAAGTCAGGATCCAGTTTTTATTCTCCCTGTGTGCCCTCACCAGCTTTAAGTGTTTGAGTCATAAAAATAAAAAGGAGCATAAAGACGCTGGTTCTGCTGAAGACGACGTCTCACCGGAGCATTCGGCGAGCAGGAGGGTTCAAACCAACGAGCTGCAGCTCGGCGAGACGCCACCTTCAGACTTCCTGTATTTCACGCTCCGTGTTGTTGGGGGGACACTGTGGACTCTGAGGGACTGAATGTTTCAGGACAAAGATGGGGCGGGGGGCTGGCTGAGGTTATGAGTTTTCTGTCTTACTGCTGTCAGTCCTCTCGTCCTCCTCCTCCTCCTCCTCCTCTTCGTCTGAGGAGTCTCCTTCGTAGGGGACGAGCCCGGAGGTGTCCAGGTTCACCTTTATCTTCTTCACACACACGTCTTCCTCATCTGTAAGACAATAAACAAAAAGAAGAGAGAGAGAGAGACAGGAAATTGGGAGACATGAGAGAAAGAGGTGGGGGGAGGGAGGGGAGGTCAAAGAGAAACCCATTGAGGAGCCCCACATAAGCGGTGGTTTTTTAGTTGGTCCCGAGCCGGGAGGGAAGGGAAGAGATCAAATGAAACGGCAGCAGAGCACACATCCATTACAGGCCCGTCCGGGGACATGTTGAGAGAGAGAACAGGGGAAAGACAAGAAACATATAGAAGAAGAGCGCGTTAGTGCGTTCAGCCACGGCTGGCAGTCATACAGGTCCTCCACTCMTCCCCGCTGCTCCGTGGGAGGAGGAGCTACTTCATGCATTACACAGCTCCGCAGAGGAGACGCCCCTGAGCTCGGCCTCTCACAATGTCTGGGAAGTGAGGAAAACGCATACCCGGTGACGCGGCGGCGCCGCCCTGCGGTCCAGCTGGGTCCTCCGCCACGGCGTCCGTCGGCCGCTTGCGCGTCACGGGAGGTGGAGCCACGAAGGGAGGCGGAGCCACRAAGGGAGGCGGAGCCACGAAGGGAGGTGGGGGTGGAGGCATCAGAACTCTGGAGAAAACAAAAACTTTAACATCGACATGGCGACGCAGAACCGAAGAGATCAAACGTGACGTCGAACCTTTCTACTTTCTCCTCAACAGCAGTGGAGGGAGGGGGMGGGGGCGGGGACTCCAGGTGAGCAGCTTCCTCCGGGGGGCAGCTGTCAATCTACAGGAAGAACATGAAACTGGACTTTACAGTGTGTCTGTACATATTGATCAGATGCTGCTGCTGACTGATCCATGATGTCATCATGTAAATGTAACATTTTCTACATATAGGTCAAATTAATCACTGCAATAAAATAACTTTGTGTGTTTTTGTCACTTTTACAGTGGATTGCATCAACTCTGTTACATCCAGAAGGGAAACTTCACCAAAGTGAAACATAAATCTGTGGATCTGTGTTTGATTACTCTGCCTGGCTTTCTCAAGGACCAGGATGTGACACAAACATCTGAATTATGGAACTGAAAGTGAAAGTAGTCAAACTGAAGTTTTAATAAACCAAAATACAGTTTCAAAGTAAATTAATTCAGATACAAAACTTTAAATTCAGTTTCAATTTAGTTTAATTCATTTTCAAACCAATGCATTCAATTTAAGTTATGTAAATTCAGATTCACTTCCTGTTGGCACAACATTTATCTTATAGTTATCTTTCCAAAAATGCATTCATATTTATTACAAATAATTGATGTTGCTGGCACTTTAAACAATGATGTCATGAAAAGTCAGATAAGTGATGAAATGAAGCTGATTTAATCTGAACATCCYGACTTTAACTCTGAGCCACAGCTCACCTGTTCCTCCTCAGCCTCCGTCTGCACATGACGTTTGGGACTTCCTGTCTCAGGTGGGGGGTTCAAAGACCCCGCAGGCTCCAGCGTCTCACTGCTGCCTGGATCCTAAACAGAACAAACCCTGATGAGGAACCTCTCAGGTGTTCATCATAAAACCTTTAACTCCTGAGCTGCACAACACACCTGCACCAGGTATGGGTGTGGCTTCCTGGGACACACTGGATACTGCACCATGGTCTGAGAGGATGGAGGGTTTGTCGACACGTTGCTCTGAGGACCACCGTCTGCGTTGCTCCAATAAGCGGCGGCTCCAGGATACGCAGCGTAGCCACCGCTGTAGCCGTTAGCTGGGTAGCTGTACCAGGACGCCTGGCTGGAGTAGCTGCTGTTAGCTGGGTATCCATGAGCAGGGTACGCTGAGACCACCAGGATGAGACCATCAATAAGACCACCATTAACAGATTTACTCACCATAAACAGACAGCTTGTTGGACACAACAACAACAATTACTAATTTAACAAACATTATTTTTGTCACATGTTCCTGTGGTTTTATACCAAAAGATTTCCTCTAAACTTGATTTTTATTTCCCACTGACAAATATCAAGAGATTGTTCTGTTATTTGTCCGTCTGTTAGCAAAATATCCCACAAATCACTGAATTAAATTAGACAAATCCAACAGAAAGTAACAAATGGATATAAATCTAAAAATTAACCTGATTCAAGATGGCCGCCTCAGCTAACACACAAATGTTTATAAATATTAATTTTAAAGATTCTGACAGATTCAGTCACTTATATTTACAACTTTAAGACTTTATTATGATGCAAATATATATAAAATACAAAACAGAAATCAAGGGAAGGTTGAAGATCAGAGCCAATTCTCTGAATCGATTCTTCACGATTCGATTCATCTGCTCTTAAATAATGAAAACGGTTCAGCTGTGATGAAAAATACTAATTCAGTTTATTTCTCTTCATCATAAACAATGGGTTTTAAGGAGAAACTTGTAAATTAAACAGTTTTAATCTTGAAACAAAACTGAAGTTTCAAAGGTTTTAAAATAAAAAGGAATTAAATGACGTTAATGATGTTGGATGATTCATTAAAAAAAAAAATAAGACTAATTTTCCTTTTCAATAAGAAGTGATGGAATAAGGTTACAGAAGAAGAGGTGGGCTAAAATAAATATACTTCTGCCCATTCCTTTTGTAATGTTTATGTTACCTTCTGTTGTTCAATAAAACTC